CGCTAACTATTGTATAACGAAACAGTTATATTTATCAAATCTGTTATTTATCATCCGCTACCCACTTTTTGCTATCTACCATCCACTATCCATTAACCGCCACCCGCTACTGCTATCTGTTATCTGCTGAATTTTAACCGCTGTACCAAACAAACCCTAAATATAATTGAGCCCAATTCAACTTAATTAGATTTAAGCCTAGCTCAAAACTAGAAAAACTCTCTCTCTCTCTCTTTTTTTTCTTGGATTTGACTAGAGAAACCCTACAGAAGATAAAAGATTTCGTGGTCTTGATCTAGAACAAGATAGATTATGGTTTTGTTCAATTTTAATGCTTAAGTCATCTTATTTTCATTTTTTCATAGGAAGAGTTAGCTTCATACTATATATTTATAATTAATGGAAAAATTGAAAAATTAAAACGTTTTATTATTTTTGTAAATATTAAAATTATTTAAATATCTTTAATAAATCTTTATTATGTATAAATTTATTAAATATAGTTTATATAATGGTAGCATATATAAGAGAGTGATAATCACGTATAAATTCTTATCATTTTAATTATCAAGATCATTTATTTATGGGCTTAGTGTTTATTTGCTTTACTTCTAAAAAATTAAAAGAAGAAAAAACAAAAAACACCACAATTTATGCTTTACAAATATAATATTTTAATATTTTTTAATAAATATTTATTAAAATAATATAATTTTAAAATAATATGTTTATTAATATTTAAGAAGTAAGATGAATAAACATTATTAGTTTTATTTATTTATTTTTCAATCCCATAATTTATATGCATGTACCAGTAGTTGCATTAAGAGAGTGACAATCACGCGCCGTAAGTGGGAGTTGGCAGGTCACCGCTGCGTCCCGAACACTGTAAACGGTACAATGTGAACCACCTCTAATCTCACGGTGCACCGATCCTTGTAGTCCTCACATTTTGGCGACAAAAGTTAGGCAAAAATCAACATTTAGCCCCTTACCTTACAAAATTAGTAGGTTTTAGCTCTTTACCTTATAATATGGCACTTTTAACCTTTTACCTTATTATTTTGGTAGGTTTTAACCCCTCATCTTACAAAATTGATAGATTTTAACCTTTCACCTTATATTATGATATTTTTAGCCCCTCATCTATACAAATTAAAGAAAATAACTCCTACCTAATATTAAGTTATAACATTTTATTAGTTCTGTTAACTGACTGTTAACATCCGTTAATATTTCGTTATAGAAAATATGAAATTTAAATTCAATTTTAGTTGTTAGTTCTATTAACAGAATACTAACGAATACTAACAGTCAGTTAACAGAACTGACAATCAACTAATAAAACTAACAAAATATTATAACATGATGTTAAGTGAGAACTATTTTCTTCAATTCATATAGATAATGGGCTAAAAGTGCTATAATATAAGATGAAGGGTTAAAACTTACTAATTTTGTAAGATGAGGGATTAAAATCTATTAATTTTATAAGATAAAGAGTTAAAAGTGTCATTATAAAGCTAAGGATTAAAACCTATCAATTTTGTAAAGTGAGAGGTTAAAGTTGGTTTTAACCCCAAAAATTAAATGTTACTAGTATTAGCTTTTTATTTTTAGGGGTGCAAA